GGGGGGGGGGCGGCCCGTTCCTGACCCCCACCGCCGCACAGCGCTTCCGCCCCGGCTAACGCCAATTCAAACTGCGCGCCACCTCCCTCTCCCACAGCCCCCGCCCCGCCAATGATTGGCCCTTGCTCACGTCAGCTCAGGCGCCACAGCCCATCCGAGTACGCAGTGAGTCGCCTTTCTCATTCCGATTGGCTGCCAGGGCTGCCGAGCGCCCTCCCAGTCAACCCGCCTCAAAGTCTTCCCATTGGGCACAGGGCTTGCAGCGGGGCGGGGCTTGGCCGCGGTGGAAAGTCGCAGTTCTACCTAGCAACAGCGGCCGACGTGAGCTCCCATTGGCTGCGGGGGGGCTTCCATTGCCGCTGCCGCTTTCCGTCCGTGGACCGCGTCGGCCCGGGCTGTCTGGGGCAGGGGCGGGGGCGCTCCCTCAGCGGGAGCGGACATGGCGGCCCCGGGGCCCTGCTGTTAATCGCTGTGAAGGCAGCCGGGGGTGCCGGGACCGGGGAAGCCCAACTTGAGGCTGGGGAGTGGTGCAGGCCCGGGGTGGGGGGCTCCAGGCTACAGGCAGGAGAATCTGATCCTAAATGGCGGCCAGGAGTCATACCCTCTACAGTCATTCTTCAGCTGCTGCCGTAGAGTTGCAGGCCTGAGGGCGCTGAGGAGGAGGAGAAGGAGGAGGGCTGGAACTGACACCGCTGAAGGTGTTGCTTGCCCACTGACCGGCTCTGGGATTTCGGGTATCACCTGGTTCCTCTCCAGTATTTTTCAAGGAGCCATTCCTTTTCTATAAATAAATAAGTGAAAACTAAAATGCTATCAGCACATCAAGTTCCCTGGAGCATCCCATAGGAAAAAAAAACACAAACCATTTGTCATTTTGCCAATGTAAAGACATAAATGCATTTTTCATAATGGCTTCTTGTCCAAAGCTGACTTCTATTTATCTACTTGGGGTTTATGAGTTCAGTTGTAATAAATCCTATATTTCAAATGGCAGAACTGAAGAAAAATACACTCTTTCATCCATCTTTTAGCATTCTTACTGTTAACGTGGTTGTGAAGTTTCCACAGCTGACAAGCTCTGCCTTACCCTGTTTCTGGCAGGCCTCACCTTACCTTCTGGTTCGGCATGAAGGCCTTACCCTTTTTCAAGGTACAACTTTTCTGCCGCCACCACATGAACCCCTGTGCTCAGCAGTTAAATTACGTGTTTGGTGAGGTGAGCCAGCCGGGTACCAGAGTAGTGAAGTGTTGATTTCGGTTAGCAGGAAGAGAAAGGATCAATGTGGTAATTCAAAGCTGATGAACTAGATCCCACCCCTACATTTGTCACCTTCCTCCCACTGGGATGAATGCAGGACAAATAATCTAAAAACCAGACCCTCACTGGTGATCACCCAGCTGCATATGCATTATTTTCTTGATACTCACCTGGGAGTGGATTTCTCTTGTTATTCACTTTGTTGGAAGCTATCCTTTGAATATATAAAAGCTTATGTAATCTTCCAAAGACTTTTTAAAAAAATGTAAATACTCTGAATAAGTCGGATTCTGTGTATCTCAGACTGAGTTGTCAAAATTGGTGGGCACTCAGTAATTTGGACCAAGTCCCTTTCCTTTCCCACGGGTAAAATCGGAATAATACTACTACTCTCCTGAATACTGAAAAATAAATCCTATGATACTTCAAACATGGTCAAATATTAGCATTGGTCAGAATATTTGTATGAAGTTTATTAGTAGACAAGTAAGGCAAGCTTTACATGATGTGTAGTGAAAAAGACCTAAAGTCCCACACTTAAAGAAGGATAAAAGGAATTATTGGGTAACTAACTATTTAGTTCTTTCATCAAAGTGCTGTCCCTGCCGAAAAAATGCATCCTGAAATTGCTGGTGGAAAAAAAAAAAAAACTTAATAAAGGCTCTGGTTCTTCACTGTAGGGTTTAGGGTCATTGTGGCCTTCATTGTGGGTTTTTTTGAACCCCTTGCAGTGCTTGGATAATTAAAGATAGAAATACAGTGCACACATAGGATGAAATTAATTCCTTTTTTCTGCCCTGGTTTAGGAGTCACTTTACAACCTTAATGTCTTCTAATTTCTTAATGTGTAATTTTGTATTAGAAATAATAGAAATAGCCCCAGACTTATTTTGTGTTTGACGTAATTGTTAATCTAGGAAAATAAAGGCATGTTCCTGTTATTTCAGTCTTACTGACAGAAGATCAGTCTTTCAGCTAATCTATCCATTAGTTACTTGTGGCTGTTTGGAATTCATGCTACACTTCACTAGAGTGACAGGAGCACTCAATTGCAAAGCATTTCTTCTACCACCCCTGTGAGAAAATGGGAGTGGCATTCAGTGGCATTCAGCTGTGCATGAAAACTGTCCTATACCGGTAGCTTCTGGTATATTTGATAAGGTGTAACCAAAAATCTCAAACTCCGTGACCTTAGGAACCACAAAGTCAACAAATAGTAGTGAATGCTTTTGCCCAGGTGATGTGTTTGGACTGCAAAGCAAGGTCTAAACATCAAACTCCAAACAAGCAAAAGAAAGGAAATAAGGAAGTGCCATAATGTTAAAACCTTGATGTTAAGGTCCCTATAGGAAACAGCAGATATCATTTGTCTTGTGTGACTAGACAATGGCCTATCTTAGTGCTTCTCTGTAGTTTCTTCTGTGTCTGCTGCTTGCCACCGCTTGCTTAATTATTGAGATTGTAAATTAACAGGGACTACCCATTTGTCTTTTCACTTATGCAGCACCTAGTGTAACAAAGTCCTTGTCTTAGGTTCTGGTCCAACAAGGACAATTAATAAATCCTTAAAACTATTTCTGATGTCATGAATAAGCTGAGTACTGGGAGGTGTGGTTTGCAGTCCTGAGTGGGGTAGCTGGGCTGTAAAGGTGTCATTGTGCTGTGTCATGAGGAAGCATGGCTCTTGAACAGTACCAGTGGAGAGATGAAAATCAGTCAGTACACAATCAGACTTCCGAGGTCTTGCTCTTAGACAGGTTTCCACTCATCCTCTGCTGCTGGGAAAAGGGCATACTGATGTCAGCAGGAAAATTCCTATGCTATGAGACAGCCGGCATCTTTTTAATCTTATGATTAAGTAAATAATGAACATTGTGCCTTTTTTTTTTTCTGTAAAAGAAAATATTGTTAATTAATATGATGCAGAAACACAGACGTTTCAAGAAGAAAACTTCTTTGGTGCCCATATAGTGCTCGAAGCTCATCCTCTGTTCCTACTTGAGTAGTTCTATGCAGAAAAGTTTGACAGAAGATTTAACCTCAACTTCTCTTTGATTAATTTGGTTTACAGGAAAATAATTTGTGGGACTGAGATATGTGTGCTGTTGCTTACCCTGTGGTGCACTGCCATATGTAATTGTTTCATTCATGGTGTTTATTCGTATTTGGAGAGAGCTGTGTACTCTCTAGCTCATCAGTTAGCCCAGCCTCAAACTGTATTTTATCCCTTTAATCTTTCTATCGCTTTTTTATAAATCAAAACATCTGCACTGAATGATCATTTTTAGTATTCTGCTCTGGGCTCTCTCCAGTCAGTCAATATCTTCGAGTATGTAGGCATCTGGACTAGTAAATAATTTTCTGAAAGCAACCTCTGAAGAACCATATAGAAAGCAATTTACACATCTATTCTTTGTAGATGCTGATCTTTAGATACAGCCAAAACATCACATTGACTATTGAAATGACAAACTCATCTCTCTTCGGTATATTTTTCCAGATTGCCTGCTTCTCTCACTCTTTGTACAAGGGAGTATGAAGACATAAAATAACTGCTCTTTTCCAGAAACCCTTGCACAGCTCAGCTTGTGTCAACTCAGTGAATATAATTAGAGATTGAGAGGCTGTGGAAAACCACTGAGAAGTGTGGAGTGGGGAGTAGCTGTAGGCATGCAGAAGAGCTGGGCTGCCTCTGGAAACGGGTGCGTTAACATCATGGGAAAACACCTCAGAACATTAGTCAGCACAGGCCAGGAGCTGCAGCAGGCACTGTGTACCATCACCTCTGCGAGATGCCCTGCCTTCCCTGTTTTCCTAGAGGTAGGACAGAATCCTCCTTACTCACAACTCTATCCAAAGTCCCAAATTCGTTCCTTCACATAAGGCAGTCCCTGCATGAGTGTCTGTTAAACAGACAAGTGTTTCCAAAACTTATCATAATTAAACACACCCAACCACTCCCCAACTCTACTTATATAAAACATAAAAATATACAAACCAAAGAACCATCTGCAGTTGGCCATCAAGAAGCCATCAATAATCTTGTCCTTCAAGCCAAATACTTTGAAGGGCCCCCTAAGGCAGTACTGGGCAGACTAACATTATTTAGCTCCCTATTTCTGAACGTCATGTGCAGGTCTGCTAGAAGGGAATCGGAACAGGCTCTAAGGCTGCCCTTGTTGTGTCGCTCATTCTTTGAGGGGTTTTTTTACTGCCCTCAGTTGTTCAAGAGCATATTTAATTTTGTGGGGGAGTAATTTAATCAGTTCCAGTCTAATCAGTCCTCTGCCAGAATGGGACTTTGCTATTTTCATTTCTTTCCTGATATACTGGGTTCTGGCAGGAATGGAGCTAACTTTCTTCATAGCAGCCCTGTGGTGCTGTGTTTTGGGTTTGTGGTTAAAGTAGTGTTGGTAAGGCATTAATTATGTGAGTATTGCTGAGCAGTGCTTGTAAGCACAAGGCTTTTTCTTTTTTCCCACTCTGCTGCCTCTCCCCTGCCAGTGACTATGGCTGGGGCTGTGCAAAAAGTTGGGAGGGGACACAGCAGGACAACTGACCCATATTGACCAAAGGGATATTCCATACCATATGACACCATGCTTAGCAATAAAAG